TGAATAGAAAGAGAGAGAGAGAGAGAGAGAGAGAGAGAGAGAGAGAGAGAGAGAGAGAGAGATATGTGTGTGGTAGTCGTGTTTTTGCACTGAAGCAGAGTTTAAGTAAATCGTCGCCTTTTTATTACGTTTCAACATTACTGGACTACTCGTCCTATTCAAGCATTTAAATGTCGGTGGTAAGTGTTTTATCCTTATAATGACCGTATGTGAATGTCGATGGGTGAGTCCCTAATTGCAAACTATGATTGGCTAACGCTGAGAAATGACGTCGGTTTTGAGTTTGGCTCACCGTCTCGCGCTCTCAACGAAGACTTACGGTAATTACGCAACTTCAATAGCGGAAGTCGACCCGCTGGCATTTAAAGACATATTTAAAGCAAGTTAAAGTGGACGAATAACAACAACAACATGACTCCGTCCGCTCTACTTTGTCAATTTCGACTTATTGGACTTTGTCGGAAATGGTGTTCCTCCCGCGCGTTCACGTGCCAGGCCGCTGTCAATCAGCTGCGGCGGGAACAGGGCGCCACGGCTCTGGCCGGCAGAGTGGACCGGTTCGGGGGAATCACGGTGGATCTGGCGGACGTTGGGCTGCCGAAGGACATTAGTGAAACTGCTTTCGCTGACTTATTGACAGGTTTGTGTGCTCATGGAACATGGTGTGAAATTCCGACCCCTCTGACAATGTCAATGATTGGAAAGGTTTTTCGGATTGGATGGCATTGGAGCTCACAATTTGGTGCCAGAAGTGGGATCAGCACACATTAAGCCTTAGAGATGTCAGTCAGCCATGTATTCATTCATTCTTAAATGTTGTCTGTTTGATGACACACATGATTAATTTACATCTTTCCATGCCGCAATTGGTGTCAGAAATTTGGATCCGGACATGACTACCAGAACATTTTGCCTAATACAGCTCGGCTATTCGTTCGTTCATTGGCTATTGTGTTTAGCAAATGAGGGGTTAGAAGTTGGATACATACACCGCAACCTGAACCTTGTGCTTTAAGACTGCTCAGCAACAGGCAAAATTAATGTACCTTTCACTGAAATGAATTGTGTGTCAGACGTGGGGGGTCATAACACATTACTCCTTAAACAGGTTATTCGGGATCCGAACACATTGCACCTCGAACAGCACAGCTATTCATTCATTAGCTTGTGTCTCATGGGCCACTAAATGAGACATGATTGATGTACTTTTTGATGAGACAAAATGTGGTGTAAGAAATGGCATCCTTACAAAACGCCCTGGATGTCATGCCTCAAAGAATGCTTGATGCTTGACTAGTCGGTATGTTTAGTTGCATTGGCTGTTGAATGATAAACATTATTAATTTACCTTACAGTCGACCAGATTTTATGTCAGAAGTGGGATCCAACCCTGACAACCAGAATATTGAGCCTCCTAAAAACTAGGACATATAACCATGACCTATAAAATCGTAGGATGCTTCATGATTCATTCACTGAAATGGATTTGGTGTCAGAAGTAGTATCTGAGCACAGCACACCTGAACATCAACTTTGCCATCAAGTCATTAGTTTTAATCTCAGTGCCTGTTTGATTACACATATGGTTGATTTGCTTTTTGCGTCGATAACTTTGGTGTCAGAAGTGAGATTTAAATAATCTGAACATGATACATTGAGACAGTTACGCCATTATCTTTAATCATATTGGCTCCTTGATTAAAGCCAAATTAATCTTTGATGAAACCAAAGTTGGTGTCAGAAGCGGGATCCAAACATTATCCCCTTAAAACAGCTCGCACATTCATTCATTCACTCTGAAGTCGTGTTCTATGACTTGACTTCGTAGATTCATTGGGCCGGTGGAAATCAGAGGGCAAGGTGGCCGTGTGGCTGCGGGTTCCAATCGCGATGAGCCGATGCGCCGGTGCCGCCGCCGCCCGCGGCTTCACCTTCCACCACGCACAGGAGCGCCACGCCGTGCTCTCCCTCTGGATGGGCGCAGGAGAAAGCAAGCTGCCTGGCTTTGCTACGCACCAAATCGGCGTGGCAGGTAGGGAGATGCCTTCGGCATTACCAGACAATGTCCAGCAGAGGGCAGAGTGAGAATTGAATGCTTGTCCAAACAGCATGTCAGAACATGTCCTGAGCACATGGCAGGGAAAAAAATCCCCCTTTTCTGGTTTTATCCGGCAAAACCAAATGGAGGCATGCTTACCAGTTTGGTGTGTTTGGTATGTTTGGAATGGAACCATTCCACTGGGCCTCGTGGTAGAATTTAAAGCAAGGTTTCCCAAAGACCCAAATGAGAAAAATGAAAGGGGAAAGTAGAAAGTGGCAACCTTGTTCCATAACAAAAATAACAAAGCTGAAGAACACAACAGATATTAATTTGAAATAGCAAATGTTTTTCAGCAAAAAGGTTTTCATCTAAGTCATCTTAAATCACCTCATCTTTAATACGTTTTCCAATGTTTGTGATGCAACGCTTGATGTACGATTCATCCTCTTTGTGGAAGCTAACATATGTCGTATTAATGCTTTGATGTACCTGTATAACCTTTTTAGGTTTACTCTGTGAAAATCATCCACGTGACATTTGTGAATCTTGCGTCAAAAACATACTTAACTGTTTTAATTGTACAAAGGATTTTTCTCATGAAACCTTTCCAATTAATCTGCATTATTTTTTTCATATTTGATTTTATATTGAACAATCTTTTTTCCTACCAAAGTTACAGCAAAGTCATTTTTACGCTCTATTGTGCATTCTCAACCAGTAAGAAAGTCATTTTTCGCCACTTTTGATGATGATTAACTTGTGCAAGTAGTTTTTTCGCCTCCGTTGAATATTCTCCATGACACAATTACAGGCTTCCCAAGTCCTTTTATTTTTTTGGCTCTGGCTTGCTGAATGAAATCAATTTCCACACGGAAGTCCAAGTCAGGCCATGAACACATGCCTCTTTTACGTTGCTGTCAAATACATTTTCAAAGGAGGATGTACCAGAAGGAAAAAAGGTCCCCTCCTCTTCCTCCTCGCTGAGTCACTGTAAAAGGAAAAAAAATAATAAAATAAATGTCCATTTCATTGGCAAGTGTAGCTGAGTCACACATGCTCTGTTTAGACTCCCCAAAGGCCAGATGTTATTGTAACCCCAATTTAACAATCTCAAAGTTAAATATTTATAACACTGAGGACTGTGCGGTTTCAAACCACCGGTGGTTTGATCCAGACCACTTGCCCATTTATTAGGTACCCCTCAACTCTTTAGTCTTCCTTCCTGGCGTGTTCACTGACGAAACATTTTGAACTGGTTTAAATATGAGTGTATGCTTTGACTGTCATTTTGTGTAGGCGCAGTCGTCGACGAGTCCAATGGAAAGGTTCTGGTGGTGCAAGACAAGAACAAGGTAATTTATTCCGGAAAGCAGCCCCCACCCAACCCCCACAATATTAATGCATGGGCAAAAAGAAATAAAAAGTGTTGCAGGGTGAAACTGTCACCATTATATACAGCGAAACCATGAGCTGTAAATCTAATTTGTTTTGTGACCTGTTCTTAAACCGAAATGTTCACAAACCAAAATAGTCTTTCCCCTTGAAATTAATGTAAATGCAATCGATCTGTTCCAGCCATGAACAAGTATTTATTTATTTATTGTAATGAGTTTTACCTTACTTTGATCATGAGTCGTTAAAAAAATTGCATTAGAGAAATACAGGGTGTCCATAAAGTCTCTTTACCATTTCAAAAATTTATTAAAAATGCAATTGATTAGATATTTTATTCAGATTTGTTCTATTGTATTCAGTGTTTACTAAGTTTTTTTATCACACTGCATTTGTGTGTGTATCATGTGCAATCGAATAATTGTCCATTTTTCTTCAACGAGACATCAATTTCTGCAAATGTTTCCCTTCACCAGATATCACTCTGCTGGACTTCTTTCTATGGGGCTATGTTAAAGATATCGTGTATCGAACAAAGATAAGGGACATTACTGACCTAAAGCAAAGGATTACTGATGCCATTGCCACAATTGATGAGGCTATGCTGCAGCGAACATGGCAAGAAATCGAGGACCGTCTTGATGTGCTTTGTGCAGCTAATGGTGCCCATGTAGAAGTGTATTAAAAGAGGTTTAAAGAAAACTTTAATAAACGCTGAATACAATAGAACAAATCTGAATAAAATATCGAATCAATTGCATTTTAAATCAATTTTACAAATGGTAAAGAGACTTTATGGACACCCTGTATATGAAAACGTAATTTATGGAGTGGTTTTCGCCTTTTTGTTTGAGTTTGCTGTGGTTACTGCTTGCCTGTAATGGCCCCTCACTCCCACAATGCAGCACAGTTTTTGCATGGGACGTGGTGGCCATTTTAGGCAAAAGGGCAAAACAAGGAGTTGATGACGTTTATGCTGTGCGAGGAAAAAGCACAAAGTAATGAGGCTTCGGCAGCCATCGCAACACTGTTCAGAAACCGAACATGGTGTGTGATCCAAGGTGAGGTTTTTGATGCACAGAACCACGTACGTATTCTTATGCCGTCCAGCAAACTAGCTTGTTGCTTCATGAACTCAAAACGTCACATTTTGGTCATATACTAAATTGGGGAACTCTTGTACGTTGAGTTTGACAGTTCCAGTCTAGTATAAATAAATCTGATCTTGGCACCAAAATGAGCTACTAATGACTTGAACATCCGTCCTTAATGAAGTCTCTATAATCACTTGTATTTATTTTTGCTTCTATGTGGCCTCCAAACCTCTAGTTAGTTGCTCCGGAGCAAACACACACACAGTTTGTACATAAGCCCTATGAATGAACTGGGCCAGCAACACAGAGCTCTGACTGTACATGCTCGCCTTGTAATGAGCGCACTCTCAACGGCCCCTTTGGGGTGGTGGGGGTGGGGACAAAAAAAAATACAAAACACTCCACTCACATTTGTTTGCATTCCTGGAGGGTCCGAATAACACTTCCACTGAGCATGACAATGACACCACTTGAAGTGCATCTGATTAACTTCTTATAAAGTTCAGATGTTCTGGTAGGCTATTCCTGACATTTCTGGTGGAAGGAATCATGAACAGTTCCAAATAGCAGTCAGGTAGCAAAAATCACGCAAGAAAGCAAAACTTTGGGAAAAGCCAACAAGAACATCTAAACTTTATGATAAATTAATCAGATGCAGTTTAAAGGATCAGTGATAAATCAGCAAAACACATAATTAGCAATAAAAAAAAAACAAAATTAATCGTGATTTGCACCAAAATAAAAACAAAATCTAATTTTTAGTGTCACAATATGTTTTTATTCCACGTGTGTCCACTTGTGGAACAACTCCAGCAGGAAAGCATCGGGTTGAAAACACATTCAAATACAAAGCAGCTTTACTTGTGCATTTTTGTGTTTCTCATATCATCCTAATGTGTATATTACATTTCTGCGCTGTATACAAAATAGACCTACAAAAATAGATATATGTATAAACACACACAAACACACACACACACTGACAGTATAATTTAACCCAGGGGTCCCCAACCTTTTTTGCCCCACGGACCGGTTTAAGTCAGACAATATTTTCAGGGACCGGCATTTAAGGTGTGGCGGATTAATACAACAAAATAATATGGTATGAGCTGCATGAAAACTGTGGTGTTTTCGAAATATAATAATAAACACAAGGAGCGTCTAATCTGGTCGCAACACTCTTATCGCTCTGGTAATGTTTAATGCCTTCAAAATACGATACAACGCAAATTCAAAGTGCATGAAAATGACGACTCACCACAG